ACACGTGGTAATTTATCATGCGTTTTCTCTGGCTCTGTTTGGCCAATCACAGCTGCGCTATTGATGCCGTGGACCTTAAACATTCAGACAAAATGTAAAAGAATTAATGGTACATGAAGCATCAAAATGAACCTTATTAAGGATTTGAGAAACTGGAAAGATGGTTTCCCAGAGGCCGTTTTTCCTTGTTTAAAAAATGCATCATCAATGACTGTGCAGGAATAATTGGCGCCTTGGAACTTGGATCGTCTTGAATAGGAAAAATCAATGTGGCTTTGAAACCTAAAGGACTGAACGCTCTTTGTTAACCTGATGTCTGATCGTCCCAATACTAGATGACACACAAACACTAGACGCTCCTGAGATAGATAGATAGATAGATAAATAGATAGATAGATAGATATTTGAAAGATAGATAGATAGATATTTGAAAGATAGATAGATAGATAGATAGATAGATATTCGAAAGATAGATAGATAGATAGATAGATAGATAGATAGATATTCGAAAGATAGATAGATATTTGAATATTTGAATAAAAGATAGATAGATAGATAGATAGATATTCGAAAGATAGATAGATAGATATTTGAAAGATAGATAGATAGATAGATAGATATTCGAAAGATAGATAGATAGATATTTGAAAGATAGATAGATAGATAGATAGATATTCGAAAGATAGATAGATAGATATTTGAAAGATAGATAGATAGATAGATAGATATTCGAAAGATAGATAGATAGATATTTGAAAGATAGATAGATAGATAGATAGATATTCGAAAGATAGATAGATAGATATTTGAAAGATAGATAGATAGATAGATAGATATTCGAAAGATAGATAGATAGATATTTGAAAGATAGATAGATAGATAGATAGATATTCGAAAGATAGATAGATAGATATTTGAAAGATAGATAGATAGATAGATAGATATTCGAAAGATAGATAGATAGATATTTGAAAGATAGATAGATAGATAGATAGATATTCGAAAGATAGATAGATAGATATTTGAAAGATAGATAGATAGATAGATAGATATTCGAAAGATAGATAGATAGATATTTGAAAGATAGATAGATAGATAGATAGATATTCGAAAGATAGATAGATAGATATTTGAAAGATAGATAGATAGATAGATAGATATTCGAAAGATAGATAGATAGATATTTGAAAGATAGATAGATAGATAGATAGATATTCGAAAGATAGATAGATAGATATTTGAAAGATAGATAGATAGATAGATAGATATTCGAAAGATAGATAGATAGATATTTGAAAGATAGATAGATAGATAGATAGATATTCGAAAGATAGATAGATAGATATTTGAAAGATAGATAGATAGATAGATAGATATTCGAAAGATAGATAGATAGATATTTGAAAGATAGATAGATAGATAGATAGATATTCGAAAGATAGATAGATAGATATTTGAAAGATAGATAGATAGATAGATAGATATTCGAAAGATAGATAGATAGATATTTGAAAGATAGATAGATAGATAGATAGATATTCGAAAGATAGATAGATAGATATTTGAAAGATAGATAGATAGATAGATAGATATTCGAAAGATAGATAGATAGATATTTGAAAGATAGATAGATAGATAGATAGATATTCGAAAGATAGATAGATAGATATTTGAAAGATAGATAGATAGATAGATAGATATTCGAAAGATAGATAGATAGATATTTGAAAGATAGATAGATAGATAGATAGATATTCGAAAGATAGATAGATAGATATTTGAAAGATAGATAGATAGATAGATAGATATTCGAAAGATAGATAGATAGATATTTGAAAGATAGATAGATAGATAGATAGATATTCGAAAGATAGATAGATAGATATTTGAAAGATAGATAGATAGATAGATAGATATTCGAAAGATAGATAGATAGATATTTGAAAGATAGATAGATAGATAGATAGATATTCGAAAGATAGATAGATAGATATTTGAAAGATAGATAGATAGATAGATAGATATTCGAAAGATAGATAGATAGATATTTGAAAGATAGATAGATAGATAGATAGATATTCGAAAGATAGATAGATAGATATTTGAAAGATAGATAGATAGATAGATAGATATTCGAAAGATAGATAGATAGATATTTGAAAGATAGATAGATAGATAGATAGATATTCGAAAGATAGATAGATAGATATTTGAAAGATAGATAGATAGATAGATAGATATTCGAAAGATAGATAGATAGATATTTGAAAGATAGATAGATAGATAGATAGATATTCGAAAGATAGATAGATAGATATTTGAAAGATAGATAGATAGATAGATAGATATTCGAAAGATAGATAGATAGATATTTGAAAGATAGATAGATAGATAGATAGATATTCGAAAGATAGATAGATAGATATTTGAAAGATAGATAGATAGATAGATAGATATTCGAAAGATAGATAGATAGATATTTGAAAGATAGATAGATAGATAGATAGATATTCGAAAGATAGATAGATAGATATTTGAAAGATAGATAGATAGATAGATAGATATTCGAAAGATAGATAGATAGATATTTGAAAGATAGATAGATAGATAGATAGATATTCGAAAGATAGATAGATAGATATTTGAAAGATAGATAGATAGATAGATAGATATTCGAAAGATAGATAGATAGATATTTGAAAGATAGATAGATAGATAGATAGATATTCGAAAGATAGATAGATAGATATTTGAAAGATAGATAGATAGATAGATAGATATTCGAAAGATAGATAGATAGATATTTGAAAGATAGATAGATAGATAGATAGATATTCGAAAGATAGATAGATAGATATTTGAAAGATAGATAGATAGATAGATAGATATTCGAAAGATAGATAGATAGATATTTGAAAGATAGATAGATAGATAGATAGATATTCGAAAGATAGATAGATAGATATTTGAAAGATAGATAGATAGATAGATAGATATTCGAAAGATAGATAGATAGATATTTGAAAGATAGATAGATAGATAGATAGATATTCGAAAGATAGATAGATAGATATTTGAAAGATAGATAGATAGATAGATAGATATTCGAAAGATAGATAGATAGATATTTGAAAGATAGATAGATAGATAGATAGATATTCGAAAGATAGATAGATAGATATTTGAAAGATAGATAGATAGATAGATAGATATTCGAAAGATAGATAGATAGATATTTGAAAGATAGATAGATAGATAGATAGATATTCGAAAGATAGATAGATAGATATTTGAAAGATAGATAGATAGATAGATAGATATTCGAAAGATAGATAGATAGATATTTGAAAGATAGATAGATAGATAGATAGATATTCGAAAGATAGATAGATAGATATTTGAAAGATAGATAGATAGATAGATAGATATTCGAAAGATAGATAGATAGATATTTGAAAGATAGATAGATAGATAGATAGATATTCGAAAGATAGATAGATAGATATTTGAAAGATAGATAGATAGATAGATAGATATTCGAAAGATAGATAGATAGATATTTGAAAGATAGATAGATAGATAGATAGATATTCGAAAGATAGATAGATAGATATTTGAAAGATAGATAGATAGATAGATAGATATTCGAAAGATAGATAGATAGATATTTGAAAGATAGATAGATAGATATTTGAAAGATAGATAGATAGATATTTGAAAGATAGATAGATAGATATTTGAAAGATAGATAGATAGATATTTGAAAGATAGATAGATAGATATTTGAAAGATAGATAGATAGATAGATAGATATTTGAAAGATAGATAGATAGATATTTGAAAGATAGATAGATAGATAGATAGATATTCGAAAGATAGATAGATAGATATTTGAAAGATAGATAGATAGATAGATAGATAGATATTCGAAAGATAGATAGATATTTGAAAGATAGATAGATGGATAGATAGATAGATAGATATTCGAAAGATAATTAATTGATAAAATCATACAATCATACAACATACAATTTATATATATATATATATAAATTAATAATATAATAATACTAAAATACTAATATTTTGGACTTTGACTTTATAGACAAAACCAGTTGTAAAAAATAGCAACATCTCTTCTTTTATGTTCCACTGAAGAAAGTAAGTGATTCAGGTCTGAAACAACATGAGGATGAATAAATGATGACAGAATTTGAGTGGTTAAGTAGCTACATATTTCTGTTGAAATTATATTTTATTAACCCGATGCACCTGCTGTGTTCTTCAGTATTGCTCATAATAGTGTTGGGCGATATGCTCAGTTATGCTCAGTCGTCAGCCTGTGAGATCGCCGATACACAATATTATCGTGCTAATTTATTTAATTATTTATTTACTTAGTTTCATCGCTGGAAAGTGAACCATCTCCAGCGTAAAGCTAAAAGCAGCCTAATGTTTTTAATATGACTGAGTTTGAATTTAACACGATAACAAATTAATAGAAACATCGTAAGTTACTAATTATAATGCTTACATTTCCTCAGTTATTCAAAAAGCAGCTACAGAAAACGAGCAAAGAACAATACATTACCAAAGAACATGATCACAAGCTCAGTCTAGCGCGAGTTTAACCCTAGCTCATAAGCATATTCCATATTATTCTAGTTAATATTCATGAAACTTTCATGAATACCAAAGACACACATGGACGTTACCAGAGATACAAACAATCTCCGAGCGCGAGGAGGCGAGCGGTTCAGAGAGGGATCTCAGAGTCGTAATAAGCAATAAGCCCCGTGAATAAGCCGTGGCATACAGTGAATTTATAACAGCTAAGGGGGTTAGCTCTGCTTCGCGTCGTACCTAACAACGCCCCTTAGCTGTTATAAAGTCACTGTAAACCACGGCTTATTCATGGGGCTTATTGCTTTATTTACCATCACAGATGGAGTCACACACACCTTAGTGTTGATGTCGAAGTGACGCTCTTCAAAACGTTGTTTGCAGGATTGAATAAATATTTTTATTGAAATATTCGGAGGCACAGCATGCGGTTCAGTGCATGGAAATGAAACAGCAGCATCAGAGACAGACAGAAGCCCACCGTTCCTCATGTTCTTTACCATGTGTTTACTCATGTCAGGAGCGTGAAGAGATGCGGGAAAGACACGGCCTCCGGCGTCAGCGGGTTACTCCGCACATCCACACTCTTCAGAGCAGGCATCAGAGACAGCTTCTCCATCGGCAGCTCTGAGAGACAGACACGAAGAGATGTGAGACGTGTGCAGCATCGGCCCTTCAGGTTCAGAGACATACTCTTCTTACAATCTCCTCCAATATCAAGAGAGACAAATGTGACTCTGCAGCACAAAAGCAGTGTTGAGTCGCTGGGGGATATTTGTAGCAATAGCCAACAATACATTGTATGGGTCACTATTATACATTTTTCTTTTATGCCAAAAATCATTAGGATATTAAGTAAAGATCATGTTCTATGAAGATATTTTGTAAATCTCCTACCGTAAATATATCAAAACTTAATTTTTAATCAATAATATGCATTGCTAAGAACTTCATTTGGACAACTTTAAAGATGATTTTCTCAATATTTAGATTTTTTTGCACCCTCAGATTCCAGATTTTCAAATAGTTGTATCTCAGCCAAATATTATCCGATCCTAACAAACCATACATCAATGGAAAGCTTATTAATTCAGTATATATTCATGTATAAATCTCAATTAAAAAAAATGGACCCTTATGGCTGGTTTTGTGGTCCAGTGTCACAAATGTTTACTTCATTAAGAAAAACACTTTACAAAAACAAAACAATGCATTGAGATCAAATACAGACCCTTTTATTAATTTCTCATAAGCTAAAACATGCACTTCATATTTTTTTCCTCATTGAAATGTTTTAAACCTGTAGAAATGAATAGTACAGATCAGATTAGATGGCAACATCGGTTTTTACATTAATGCATTTAGCAAACAGCGTTTGCAGTCTAAAATGTCATGTTTATTACACTCTAAAAATAACACTATGGTCTTTCCCTTCACTGAAAACACTTTAAATAATACTTAACTTTGCATTTATTCTCCTTATCTAGTCCTATGCGAGGCATGCTGGGAACTGAATACTAAAAAACTAATTTTATAATACATAAAATACTAATATTAAATAAAAACCCCCAAAAAAACAAAAAAACATTTACAGAGTTTTCATAATAATGTTGATTATTAAATTAACTTAGTATTGTATGTAATGTAAACTCACATTTCTGTGTTGATTTTGTAAAGAAATGAGTGCGTTTGCATTACATACAGTTATTATGAAAACTCTTTAAATGTTTTTTTTTTCAACTTAAAAAAAAAGGTTTAATTAAATGAATAAATTATTATAATTATTATTTTAAACTTGCAATCATGCATTTATGGAAGTCGTGGTAACACGTGCAGTGAATTAATTATTAGAGTGCTTATGGTCCCATTAGATAATTAATTAACTAACAAACTAATAACAAGCAATACATCTGTTACAGTAGTTATTAATCTTTGTTAATGTGAGCTGATAAAACAATTGTTCATAGTTAATGTCAAAAACAAGGTTTGATTTTAATAATGCATTACTAAATATTAAAATCAACATTCACTAAGACTATTAAATGCTTAAAGTATTTTTCATGTTATCTAATGTAGTTAAATCTTTATCGAAATGTGTTGCCATTTATATTTTACACAAAATGAGGATCACATGACCAGGTGAAGCCTGAAATGAGAGCGGTGAAATAATTATTAGAATAATCAGAAATTATTAATAATAATAATAAATGTTTCTCGAGCAGCAGATCAGCATATTAGACTGATTTCTGGAGATCATGTGACACTGAAGACTGGAGTAATGATGCTGAAAATACAGCTGCGCATCACAGAAATACATTAAAGTTTAACAGATATTCACATAGAAAGCAGTTGTTTTAAATAATAAAAATATTTCAAAAATTTTAAAGTATTTTTAATCAAGTAAATGCAGCTTTTGTGACTAGAAGAGACTTCTTTTAAAAACATTACCAACCTCAAATCTTTAAACAGTGCAGTACTATATGTCTTAATGCACTGGATAAAATATTAAATTCACATTACTTAGTTTCCAATTATCACAATATGGAGTGTATTTTAAATAATTTCTCTCTTTGGCTTTGATTGCATGTTCAGCGTTGCTTGAATATTGCTGATCTCTGACCAGAAGCGGATTCGTTCGTGTGGAAATCAGAAGTTGTTGTTTTGTGGACAGTGAGCTTGTGCACCGTCTTAAATGAATTATTAATGCAAACATGCATTTTTTAATAGACCCAGAAGCACTGGGTGGGTTTGAATTGTGTTGACAGTAATGAAATGTGCAGATGCACTTAACAGATCATGATTCACTGCGACAGAATCTGCCATTTTCAACTTTCCATCTAATTCTAAACAACTTTGAGAGTTTCGGTTCTGCCTCAAACGTTCTGACATCGTCTGAAAAACAATATACACTTAGTTTGAGAAGAAACTTTTCAGTCTGTTTGACGAGTTTGGTTGGTTTGAAAGCCATTCAGTTCTTGTAGTTTGTATTTGCATTGTGACATTATGGTCATGAGAATTAAACACAAGCTCATTAATGTGATGCAAAAATAATATTGTAATTATATATGATGATTCAATTGTTTTACAGCCTTTAATTTATGCTGATTTTACTAAAAAAACATGCTTTTCATTACAGTATCTCTAACATGGTTATTTTAGTATCACAGATATGCTATTATGGTTTTTATTATTATTTTGAATTAGTTTTTATTTTTATATTTTCTGTTTTCATTTTTTTGTGTGCATGTTTTTGTCATTTTTATTAGTTTTTAAATATGTCTAGTTTTCATCCCAAACCTTCCGTTGCAAATTCCAAAACGTCATTTTAGAGCTAATAACGGAGGCTTGAGCCATTGATATGCAGGCTAACGCAGTTATTAATGCAGTCTAATGCTGCGGTTATTAGAAAGAGCGAGAGAGAGAGATTAAGCGCGTGTGAATATCTGCGTCTGTGCGTCTCTCAGCAGCGTTCAGCAGCAGCGTCTACTAATAGCGAATCTTTAAGTTTAACTGCTTCAAGAACCTCGCTACTCAGAAATGTCATGCAGCTTTTCAGCTGCGAAACTATTTTATTGATCAATTCGTGGTGCAGTGCTGACAAGAAGTTTCTTTTTGCGTCTCCGCGTGAGTGAGAGAGAACGGGAGAAAGAAAGCGTGATTTCCGTAGCCTACATGGAAATATTTTTTTACCCTATTGTTTGTTATATTTATTTGCTCAGTGTCTTCTGGTTTTTGGTTCTTTTACTGTTGTAGATAGCCCATAGTATAACAAAATATTATATATCTCTTCACTGTGTTTGGGCCCCCCTGGACGTAAATAATGCGTAAATCTGGCCCTGTGTGTGTGTGTGTGTGTGTGTGTGTGTTTGTACCTCTGTCCTTACATAAAACTGATGTATTCGTGTGTTGCATAAATGTGTGATTTCAGGGAAGAAGCGCCGATCTGTCCATCAGTTTTCTCTTAAAAACTCGGTATGAATGACGGGCCTAATGAGAGTTAATTACCCTGTTGCCTTGTTATAGTGTTTGTCACTGCTAGAACACTTCATGCTCGTTTCACTAGGTTTGAAATGTAATTAAACAGAGAATTCACCCAAAAATAAATGTATGAAAACAGACAAAGAATATATATATATATGTATAAATAGATTTTATAAATATTTTTATTTATAAAAAATATTTATTTAAAAATATTATTATGTTATGACTAACTTAAACTAAAAATTAGAACTATTACAAATAGTTTTTTAGTAACTGAAATAAAACTAAAATAAAATAAAATAAAATATTAGGTGAAGATATTTAAATAGAAATTACAAATGTGGTCTTGGCAACTAACAGAAATAATAATAAATAAAACGATACAAAATAATTTAAGCTGAAGTACTAAAATTATGAAATAATTAACTATATTTTATTCTTTAAAAAACAAAAAAAAGAACAAATACAAAAAGCCCTTAACAAAATTACTACAACTTAATAAATAAATAATTTAAACATTTAATTTAAAAATAGTAATAAATACTAGAATAATTAGAAATGTGACAACTAACTGAAATAAAATAAATTTAAGCTGAAATACTAAAATTCTGAAACCATTCATTAAAACGATATAGGAATATCTTTAAAAAAGTAAAAATGACAAGAAGCCAAAACGACTAAAGCGTAAATAAATAAATAATCCTAAAATAACACTAGAGCAGATTGGATATTATGCTGTAGTCATGCAGGTTTGGAATTCTGTAAATCACAAATCTGGAAACATTACGGAAACACTTGGTGTCAGGGTGAGCGACTGCATTATAATGCATCTAGTTAATACTGTACGTCCGGTCACCTGTGATCTGGTTCTCCTCCACGCTGATGTGCTGGAGGCTGCTCACATCCGTCAGGCGCTCGGGGAAAACCCTCAGCTTGTTTCTGGAGACATCGATGCTGATCAAGTGCTGCATGTTTCCGACCGCCTCCGGCAGCGTTGTGAGGACGTTCCCCTGCAGATCCACCTCTACAGCAAGACGAGAAAACCCTACTTCAACAAAACTATCTATAAGTGTCCCTGGAGCACAAAAGCAGTGTTGAGTCGCTGGGGGATATTTGTAGCAATAGCCAACAATACATTGTATGGGTCACAATTATACATTTCTCTTTTATGCCAAAAATCATTAGGATATTAAGATCATGTTCCATGAAGATATTTTGGAAATCTCCTACTGTAAATATATCAAAACTTAATGTTTGATTAGTAATATGCATTGCTAAGAACTTCATTTGAACAACTTTAAAGATGATTTTCTCAATATTTAGATTTTTTTGCACCCTCAGATTCCAGATTTTCTAATATTGTCCGATCCTAACAAACCATACATCAATGGAAATCTGATTTATTCAGCTTTCACAAAATTGACCCTTATGACTGGTTTTGTGCTCCAGGGTCACATATGTGCTTATAATGTAGTCTGTGTAGGACGGTATATTCTGTGCAATCGAAGAATCTCCCATGAGGCACTGTGCATGCAGTAACTAAGTCAGTCACTCTGAAACTTTTATATATTTTATATTTGATTTGATTCATATTTTGCAATAAAGTTCAAATATTTAGTGTTTTATACTTCAACATGTAAACTACCATTCAGATGTTTTAGGTCAGATTTGTAATGTTTTTGAAAGAAGTCTCTTAAGTTCAGAGTCTGCATTTATTTGATCAAAAATACAGTAAAAATTGTGAAATATTATTAGAATTTAAAACAGCTGTTTTCTATGTGAATATCTGTTAAACTGTAATGTATTTCTGTGATGCGCAGCTGTATTTTCAGCATCATTCCTCCAGTCTTCAGTGTCACATGATCTTCAGAAATCAGTATAATATGCTGATCTGCTGCTCGAGAAACATTTCTGATTATTATCAATGTTGAAAACAGTCGTGCTGCACAATATTTCTGTGGAAACTGAGATACATTTTATTTTTCAGGATTCACAGATGAACAGAAAAGTTCAAAAGAACAGCATTTATTTGAAATAGAAATATTTTCTAACATTATGAATGTCTTTATCATCACTTTTTATCAATTTAATGCATCCGTGCTAAATAAAAGTATTAATTTCTATAATCCCCCTCCCCCCCCTCCCCCCAAAAAATAGCATTTAAATTGAATAGTGTATAATGTTACAAAAGCTTTTTATTTCAGATAAATGCTGATCTTTGGATTTTTCTATTCATTAAAGAATCCTGAAAAAAAGTACTCAACTCTTTTAAATATTGATAATAATGTTTTAAAGATTAAATACTGATTTCTGAAGGATCATGTGACACTGAAGACTGGAGTAATGATGCTGAAAATACACAGAAATAAATTACGTCTTAACAGATATTCACATAGAAAGCAGTTTTTTTAAATAGTAAAAATATTTCACAATATTACTGCTTTTGCTGTATTTTGGATCAAATAAATGCAGGCTTGGTGAACAGAAGAGACTTCTTTAAAACATTAAAAATCTCACTGTTCAAAAACTTTTGACTTGTAGTGTATATGTATACATATATATATATATATACTATTTATACAATAGTAACTGCAGTATGATGAAGAAATATATTGTTCATGTGATATAAAGTGATTGGTCACACCGCCTGCTGCTCTAGACACCCCCTGAAGCTTCATCTCTTACCTCTTAACCGAGTAAACGTGAGGAAGAACTTGTTGCTCAAGGCTTTGATCTGGTTGTTGGCCAGAGAGATTTTCTGGATGTTGTCTGTGCAGCTGCGGATCATCTTGAAGATGCCGTCAGGGAAACTAACGAGGCCACAGCCGGACAGATCTGAGGCAGAAAACAGAGTTGATTCAGACTGACTCTGGCATCAGAGGTTAATATGAGCGCTCTAATGAAGAGCTTGTGTTGTTCAGAGAGCCGTCGCCTCTGTATATCAACAAGCTCCCACTGAGCAATCACTCAGCAAATCACACGAGCACTATCAGACTGACCGACAGAATTAATGCAGTCATTTGGAGGCTCTTGATATGTGTGTGTGGATAATTAAAGTGTTGGGCTTCACAATGCCGCTGATTGCCATTTAGGTTTATTTACTCTTGGCATTAAATGACTGATATGATGATTTAAGGAAAATATCACTTGATAAATTGGGAAATGGTCAAAATCAAGCAAATATGTGATTTAGAGGAGCTTCTCAGCACAATAGCACCATCTACTGAGCACAGGCTGAACTAAACAGTCCACAATAATAACAATACAAATGATCAAATAAACCATGAGGAACAATAGGGTGTTTTTTTTTTTTGCAATTACACAGCCCTGCATCTTGGAAAAAAAAACTAATATTACCCGATTTGGTGATGCTCAGTTAAAAAAATACATCAAAATAATCAATAAACACTTTCCATGTAGAAAATAAGAATGAAGATTAAAAAAATAAATACATTAAAAATAAATAAAAACTTTCCACGTAGAATAAGAATGAAGATAAAATAAATAAATAAATCAAAATAATCAGTAAAAACTTTCCATGTTGAAAATAACAATGAAGATTAAATTAAAAAAATAAATAAAAATAATCAATAAACTTTCCATGTAGAAAATAAGAATGAAGATTTAAAAAATAAATAATAAAAATATACAATAAAAACTTCCCATGTAGAATAAGAATGAAGATTAAAATAAATAAATCAATCAAAATAATCAATAAAAACTTTCCATGTTGAAAATAACAATGAAGATTAAAAAAATAAAATCATAAAAAATAAATCAAAATATACAATAAAAACTTTCCATGAAGAAACCTTTCCTCTCCTAACAAACCATGCATCAATGGAAAGCTTAGTTATTGAGACTTCCGCACCCAGCGAGTCCCTCTGCTCCTCCAC